CTATATATATATATGTTGCAAGTTCTAACATTTCAGTGGGAGTAGCAAGAAGATGAAAGTTATGCCTTTACAGTTTTATTTACTTGCTACGTTTCATTTAATTCTATTTGCTACTGCTTTAACAGGCCATGCATGCTTGGTTGCTAAAGCCAAATCTTTTTAAAACTTTAAATTCAAAAAATTTTCTAAATTAAAATGAACCATTTAAAATGTAGCCATAAATCATTTGAAGTAAAATTCAACATAAAATGTCCTTTTGAATTTACAGGAGTCCCTCAGATGTGGTAACCCACAATTGCTAACGAGAACACCTCGATTTAAATGAGCTCAAGAATTTATTTAAGCTAAGTAAATTCAAAAGAAAATAGTGGTACAAGAATGGTGGAGCCATAGGAACCTAACCGGTGTCACTTTAGTCAACTTTAACCCCCTCCCCCATGTTCAACTGAACTTGTCATTTAAAACATCAAACTTTTATACTTTAGGACTGCTACTTCGCCTAGGAGCTTGCAGCTAACTATGAGGACAACCTTCTACGACAGCAAGTGGTTCTACACATCAAATTTTTTCTTAGACTTAAATAACATTTCATAGGATTTGTAGGTTGTTAGCCTAGTGTAACATAAATCCTCACCTCATCTTTAGGCATTTGCATAATCATGTTTTGCAATTTAGAACTTAACTCATTTTAGGATTCCGAGGTTGTTGTTCGTTGCGACATAGTACTTCTTGTTTTTCAGGCTATTTATATGATTTTTTCATGCAAATGTAAGCCCTAAATAATATTAATTGAGGGATGAAACATCTAATAATATCCATTCAATAATTTTCTTCTCAAAATTGAAGCCAAACCATAGGATAGCTTGGGAAGTCATTGAGGTTCTCTTTAAGATCTATGAAAAGCTTAGTTTTCTCCCTTTGGACTGCATAATAATTTTTCGAGTTTGAGTGTGTCCCATTTGACACTCCTTGATCCAAATTTTGAAAAGTCCTACCATTTAAAATTTCTGAAGAAAATTTTTTAATATCTATATCGAGAGTTTTCTTAGATGACCTCGGTCATTTAAAATGTAATTAACTATAGGGTTTGCCTCTATAGGGAACTTTAAGAACCAGTAATATAAACTCTATCTAATCTTCCATATTAAATTGGAGAAATTGTCTGCTTATCTAAAAATGTTTTGCAGGCTAAACAGACCAGACAGATGTCATAAATTTTGTAGTTTATTTAATCGAGCCTCACAGGTAAGTGATATATCTATTGCTTGGGATAGATATGTCACTTGTAGTGTTATTCTTGTTTATTTAAACTATCATTTATGTGAGGTTTGTCTGGTATTGTATTTTTAAAAATAAAAACATTATTTTTCAAAATCAAAATACTACTTTTCTAAAAATCAAATTAATATGTATATGACGTGTCCCTAGTGTGTGTTGTTTTTCTGCGTGTTTTATGTCAATTCTATTCCCCTGAGACGGTACCAAGAACTTGACCCAACCTGTAATTATGCAGTAATTTAGCTTTCAAAAGATAACAAAAAACTTGATCCAATTTATATTTAGCAGCTAATATACAAAATTGAAATATTATAAAATATAGCAAATAGTTCACACACTATAGGTTCTACGCAAGTGCATGTATCGCTTCAAGTAATAAAGGACTTTCTGATTATGCCCCAAATATCTATCACACGAGGATATCACTCGAGGATGCGAGGAAAGAGGTCCTTAGTCAAATTCTAGTCTACTACTATTAGTCCTTAGTTTGGAATGTCGATTAAAATGATGTTTTATCTAACAACTATTTCTAAATGATAATATTAAATGTAAGGATAGAAATAATTCCTAAATATAAATATTACTTCTAAAGATAACCATTTTTGGATGAATTGGTTTGGAGAATTTTAAGATGTTAAAAACTACTATTTTTATGTAGTTATTTTTATGTAGTGAATTAGAGAATGTAAAAGAATGAGATACATTAAATATTGTATGTGTCAAATAGAAGCAATTTTATTTCTTTACCCTCAATCAAGTGTTATAGAGAATCATTGGCTAATCTTAGGTTTAATCTCTAAATCTGTGGTTAGGCTTTGAGGATACTGGCTCTCACTCTAGAGCTCCCATTTCCCAATCTCTGAAGGCTAACTATTGCTTTAGTACTTAAACACTAAGGCAAAATTGTAGATTTTAGTCTATCACCATAAAATCTCCAATTCTTTGCCCAGTAATATATATATATTTCCCTATTTATTTGCACTCAACCCCCATGAACTTCACCATCCATGGAATTTGATTGTGGTTCCACTTTGTTGAGAATTACATTGCCCTCTGATTCACCTAAAAAATGTGCAATTTTTCATGTGTAAAAGGTTCAATTGTTCATATTATCTTAATGCCTATATTTGGTGATTTTCAATGATGTTTCACTTTAAAGGAAGTTATTTTGTATATTTTTTGTTTTAAGTACAAAAAATGGAGTTTCATTTCACTTTAAAGGAAGTTATTTTGTATATTTTTTTCTTTTAAGTACAAAAAATGGAGTTTTGGAGAAAAAGAAGCAAAAACGATGCAATTTGGAGCAAAAAACGAGCAAGAAAGAAAATCTTGTCCTGGCACATTTCGTATATCTTTCTATGCTTAATCTATTTCACACTTCTCACACATTACTGAATGAAATTATACTTTAAATAATGATTTTTTTTGGTATATATGATAGGAACGCAGCGCAAATCAAAACGGGGCGAAACAGAGCTAAAACTGAGCCAAACAAAGAAAAATGGTGGAGCTGCGCACGGTGGACGCCGACAGTGCCAGAGTCAGTGCCGGTGGTGCTGAAGAATAGAAAAACAATGAGCAAATGACACCGACAGCGCCCAAAATGTCCTCGACGGCGCCCGGGACGGTCATTGATCAATTTTTGGTTGTTTTTTATGTTCTAGATGGCTCCCAAGTGATTCA